CAATCAAGCGGCTGGGAAGTACATGGGAGGCGGTTAGGAGTCGCCTCCAACAAATAAGCTCCTCCCGCTCCTCCGAGAGAGACTGGCAAGCTACTCGTGAGTACCCAGCCCCCACGTTTAGAGCCTGGCAAGCTACACGTTGGGTATCAAAAATGCCAAAAACAGTAACAAATATGGGCCTCATTCCCCTGACCCCGAAAGAGCCCCTGGTACGGCAGCGCCAGGTAGGACGAGTACGGAGAGGCTGCTAAAATCTCAGGGAAATATATATACACTCATATGCATATGTATATGCATATATATGCATATACATACATGTATACATTATGCGTATATGTACATAAATACATATGCATTCAAATACGTGTGTATTCTTGCATATATACCACATATATGTACCCATATATATACATATATATGCATACGTGTATGTACATATATACACATATACAAACGTATATATGCATATACATGTATACACTGAAGATCAGACGTTACAAAAATCAGCCAAATAAAAGACAATTCTTAGAAGTACTTAAAATATTAGGTCGTTCCATAAGTTGCATTAGAGAAATAAACACTAGATTTTCTGACCAAAAGTAATTAGAATTGCATGGTATCGTTCAACTGACCACTTCCTTACGAACATTATGGTACAGAATTTGCCTATACTTGTTCTGAGATGAAGCCGTCATCGGAACAGATGCGCCTGCAACTCATGTACAAATGGCGCAGAAGGGAAAATGCCTGTGAGGTGGAGCGCAAGATTAACGGAGCTTGGGGCGATTATGCAGCTGCAGAAAGGAATCAGTCGCTCTCGAGCCAGCCACAGGAAGCTCCATTAATCTTGCGCGCCGCTTTACTAGCATTTTTCCCTACGCCACATTCACGTTACGAGTAGCAAGCATATTTTCCCAATGACAGCTCCATCTTAGAGCAAGTGTAAGCTAGTTCTATACCAAAATGTTGGCAAGGAAATGGGAAATTGAACGATACCAAAGTCATGCAGTTTTGATTGATTCTGGTCAATAAATCCTTTATTGCTCTAAGCCAGAACTTAAAACCATGGAGCGACCTAAAGTGGTTTTTCTGATTATAAGGGAACAAATGAAAAATCGACCTCATTCGCTGGAGAGGAACTATTCATAGGAGTGTTAGCAATCGTTGGAAAGCTGAGACTTGAAGGTACAGCCCCACGTCGCCAATTTTTTTGAAACACCCTTTATAACGATGTAGCATTCAGGAAAAAAAATTATGTCATATTCACCGTCCGCCTTCACTTATATTTGCTTATAATTCGCTGGAAGCACGAAAAGCATATCAGCGTGTAGAGGATTTTCCGCAGCATGAGAATCATATGTTCTTATCCGAAGTTTCTGTCGATGCGGTAAAAAAAAATCCCCAATTGAATAACAATGATTCAAATGCAACTGATCGCCCGCCTCGTCCCACCGATCCCATGTAGTGGCCGGTAAACAAGGTCGTCGAAAATGACACTCGGTCGATTTTCCTGCGAAATCAAAAAATAAACGCAGCATTGGAATCATTGGAACTTACGACATCGAAAGATTACTAATAGCCTAAAGAAAGAGCTCTGTTCCGGCGAGGTTTGAAGCACATTTTTTCTCGTAAAGCGCTATCAAGTCTTCTCCTTTCTTCTTCTTCTTTTCCCTCCTTCTCAAAGTATTAGCAATCTAAGGAAGTTTTGTCTAGCGAAGTATAAGCGAGATAAGAAAAAAAAAAAGAACGCGTGGTTCGTGTGAAACATAATTTGCTTTTGGATTTTTACAACGTTATTAAACAGTGTTTGAAAAACCGACCATGTGAGGCTGTAGTCAAAGATTCAGGCTCTTGAATGATTACTAAAACTCCTATGAAAAGTTACTGCCCAGCGAATGGGATCGATTTTTCATTTCATCCCTCCTAATCAGAAAGAATCCCTCATATAATTCTGCAGTTGACGAGCGAAAAGATAGCCATAAGGTCCAATAACATATGTGAAACACGTCGTTGATCAGTGACCCGTAAACAGTATTTCTTTCTCAAGAATCCGGAAGAAAACTCCCACGTATCCCTGCTTGAGTTACTTGTAAGATCGAAACACGTGTATCGGGCTCTATAAGTCAGCTCTCATTGACAGACCACTGACATGCGTGGCTCAAAAATGATTGCAAGGCATATTGGAATTTGAGCTGTGGTCTCAAGAAAACACTCGAAACGAAAGTTTGTTTTATTGTATATACTAGCCAAGAGCAATCGAGTGTATAACACTCTGTGTTTGGTGAGTTTTTCACTGGACATAGAGTGTAAAGCGTTCGTCGTCGCTAACTCTTAGTGTGGGGACTGGAGCACCCACAGAGATTAGCAAAAGACGAGAAAGGGTAACTGCCCGACTGACGAGATCGCAAGATCGAAACACGTGTATCGAGCTCTATAAGTCAGCCTTCCTTGACAGACCACTGACATGCGTGGCTCAAAAATGATTGCAAGGCATATTAGTCGTAAGAATTAGCGGAAATTAGCTGGGTACAGACCTCTACACGATGGCCTCAGCTACCCATCTAAGAAACGGCTTTCCCGTCACATCGCTGATTTTCCTTTCCACTCGGATAAGTTGAGAACATCGAAAAAGCAGAATATTAGGGTTACCTTTTTGTGTTTGTGACCGCCTCCACCCTTCTTTTTGTCGGCTTTTGCCTGATGTCTGTGCGTGAAGGAGTGTGCGGTGTCGCCCGACGCAGAGCTCTCAGCCACCGGCTTCTTCGGTGCGTTCAGTAACTTCCGGAAGTCCTCATTTCGAAGATTTCTGAAAGCATTTGGCGACAGTCACATGATTGAAGAACTGACCAGAAAAACTGTAACTTACGCGGTTTCAGTCATTCTTTCAGCGATTCCGTAGCGCGCCAATCAACGTTGTATATCGTTTCCGGACCACTGAACTCTTGAAAACGAACGATATCTATCTAAAACAGAGTGATTTATACGCAATAAAGGATATGTAAGACGAAATAGGAAGACGGGCGCCGTGGCCAAGTGGTTGTGATGCTCGCCACGGCGCACGTGGAACCGAGCTCTATCCCCCAACACGCACCGAAGCTGGAAGAACTGGGATCCGTCCACACAAGAAAAATTGTGATGACGGGTAGATCAAAACAGCAAAAGAAAGAAGAAGGAGTTAATTAAAGCGCATGAAAGCGAAATCTAAAGGATGCGAAAAGTCTCAAGGAGGCGATCGATAATAGTGTAAATTTCCGTCGAGTAGAAGGACTAATTGCTTTCACGTGAAAATGCAGACGTATTTCTTATTTGTTTATCCTGACCTTCGCCAGATAAACTCGTTCGTGCGAATGTCGACTGGTCAATCGATTGACCTGGTCGATCGATTATCGATCACTTCAGCCACTTTTACCATTTGTCAGAGAATCGATCGTCGATCGATAACGCCTTCCTTCCATCTCTTTGTCTTAGTGCGCTCAAATGTGCTCTGTTATTGTCTTCCTAAGTAGTGCTTTTCAGCGCGCAGATGGAGCCTGTAGGTAGATAGAAATTTTTGGTCTCAGAGTCGTGTCACTCGCGATATGGAGTGATTTCCGAGGAATATATGAACGAGAAGGAGCTCATATGGCGCAGTGGTTAGAGGTGCTCTGCGTCGCGCACGAGGTTGATGGTTCGATCACGCGCTCATGTTCACCAAGCATCCAGCCTCCGGGGTCGATAAATTGGTACCGGACTGGTCACAGTCCTGTCTGGGAGTATAAGCAGCACTGACTCGATACAATGGGAGATTATCGCGAGTCTTGTGAAGGCCAGATATGCCCTTAAACACCTCCGACGAAGTTAAAATTTAAGACGAATGCATGACGCGTCCCTCAGGGATTGATGAACGCCGAGAGCCTTATCCCTTCTTATATGAACGGGTATTGACGTCACTGCCTAGCAGATCAGCTGATCGGTCCACTGTATGCTCAGAAACAATGAAATTCGGCTGGTAATCACTGATCAGAAAGCGTCGTATCGATGACATTCTCCATCAAGTTACGAATTTTGTCTATCCTTTCGTCGTCAAGACTCATTCAAAATCGCTGGTAGAGCTTGTCGGAGGGCAACGGTTGACTGGCTAGTGATGCTGGTCGCGGCTCGACGCCACCATCTGGCGATCAGTAACGAACGCCATACGGAACATTCACCCTGGCTATCCTCGAGATCTCAAGGAGACGCGCTCGGCCAGTATTCCGTGACGTTTGTGAAGAAAACTAAATCCGCAAGCAAGCGAAGAGACGAATCGAGTGCTAGAAGTATTGAGGACCCGCACAGCAGCGACAAAAAAAAAGCTCCGATTTGCGTTGGACGAAGTGATAAAGTGATGCATCATGCTATATGTGCCTGCGCGTAATTGAGAAGCTTTTCCTACGAGTCGACAATCAATCACTCTGAAAGAACTCCACGTTGGGTGACGTTTTCACTTTACGCAGAGTGTAACTTCTTCAGCGTCGGTTCTCTGTAATAGTAGGAAGCTGAATGGCATGTACCACTGGTGACGGTTGCGAGAAAGCCGGAACATACGTTGAGCACTAGAAATGCTATACGTACTCTGTTCCGACCTATGAAGAAAAAAGAGAATTGCGGTACGGATAACGGAAAAGTACCGAAAAGGTTTAGGCGGCTCTATCTTTAGAATGGCTTCCGCTCCGCTTAATGCCTAGGTCACTGTTCCGCTGATGCATTTTATCTACACCATATCCTGCATTGTTATGTTTCATTGTTACATTTGCGATAAACGATATAAACCCAATAATGTAGAGTGGAGTCCAAAAAACATCTGCATCAGCTGGGACTCGAACCAAGACTTCACTCTTTCCGGCAGCACGTGCTGAACCGTTGCACTTCCGACGCTCCTTTTTGACACCACTCTTTCATACGCTACAAAGTGTTATCTATCACAGCCAACCGTCCACGGTCTGGTGTGAGCAGTCACTATCGACATTTAACCCAAAAACATCTGCGTCAGCTGGGACTCGAACCAAAATATCACTCTTTCCGGGAGCGCGTGCTGAACCGTTGCACCTCCGACGCTCGTTTTTGACACCACTCTTTCTACGCTACAGCGCGTTATCTGTCAACAGCCAACCGTCCACGGTCTGGCGTGAGCAGTCACTATCGACATTGAACCCGCACCCGGAAAGAGTGAAATCTGGGTTCGACTCCCAGCTGACGCAAATGTTTTTGAACTCCGCTCTGCATTATTGAGTTTATTATAGCATCATGCCACCACAGTAGGCGGTCAAAAAAAAAGAATTCTGATTGATCAGCGATATAATTCAAATCCGGTAAGTTTGATTGGAGGCGACTGCAAAACGTCCCGTGTGGCAACTCACACATTTTGAAATCTTTTACAAGATTGAGCACCTAATCCCAAGCCGCTGACACAACTACCATTAGTAGGGTCAGCGCCTAACCCATCGCCACACCTCGGCTTCAGTCATCGGAAAGATTCTGAGAATTATGTCGTGAAATTATTAACTTTCATTGATTCGCTCTTGAGTGGTAAAGAGTCTCATATGGCGCAGTGGTTAAAGGTGCTCCGCGGCACACACATGGTCAATCAATCGATGACCGATGGTACAATCCCGTGCTCAAAGCTCACCAAACCTTCCATCGCTTCGGAGTCGGCGAGTTGACGGCACACTTGTCTGGGAGAGTAGCAGCACTGACTCGATACAACGGCAGGCACCGCGAGGCATTGTAAAGGCTAGATAGCACTGAATCACCTCGAACGAAGCTAAAAATTGAGGAAGAATGCATCATGGCGCATCTCTCAGGGATTGATCAATCCTGAGAGCTTTGAGTCTCAACTCTTAATCTTTCCAGAGGTGATTCGATGCTAGTCGTGAAGGAGAGTAATCAAGTATCACGTGAGAACGAAGACCTATTGAGACTTCCCAATGATGACGCCCCAACGTCCCCCCCCCCCCCCCCCATACCCCTGATTGGGTGAAATGCGGGTTCAAGCCTCGCCTAACCCAAATGTTTCCACATCACTCTACATCTGTAACATCATACTCTAAAAGCGGTTTAATAAAGTGATTTCTGATTGAGATCACATCTTTAACTCTATACTACTATCTTACTGCGCTCAGATGTACTTGGTTGTGGTATCTTGGTTAGCGTCTTCTTATTGTGATGTTTTACAGCAGTATCCTGTAGATAGAAATTGTTTTACGAAGTCATGTTATTCGCACTAATCAGTAGTATTTGAGAAACGAATCAGCAATTCTTAACTTTGTGATCTAACAGATCCGGCTGATCGGGTCCGTTGTATGCTCGGGCGCACTGTAGGTCGACTCGTCATCACTCATCAGACGTTGTCGGTTCCAGTTATCGGGAGAAACATAGTGAGAGTGATGTCGGGAAAATTTGGTAAGTCCCATGGACTGGTTCTCATGTGAAAAGAAGTAACTTATGAATTACCCTTTTTTAATCCTCGCGCAAAGTTGGTATAACCTTCTTTCAAAGCGATGATCGACGTTTGGGCGATCCGGCCTTCTCTGGGAGCCTAACGTACTTTACCATACCATAATCAATTGTTCGGTCAAATATATCCTTTATCTAGCAAAATCTGTAGGTAAAATCAGTTCAAGCGTCTGCTTCTTTAAGAAAATCCATCGTTTCTTTAGCTATGTGGGAAATGTCACTGGGGTGTTGTCGCACACTGTGACGAATGAACCCTACTCAAATTGCAAAATGGATCTGAAATAAGGGGGCACATCAATTATGATCTTCAGACAGTCTCCCCTTCTAGTCACTCCGAGGCCATCGAAATCTCTCTCGAACGCCCAGAGGGTGTTCTTCGACTACGCTTCTGACTCGTCCCTTAGGGATTTTCGTTGCCACCTCAAAATTGTCATTGCTATGCCTTTCTGTTCTTTGTGAACCTGAAGAAGTGCTTGTCAGACTTTTCTTCTTTCCATAGAGGTGTTCTATAATGGGATCCAAAGTCATTTTTTGGTATAATTTGATTGGATTAGTGATTTATCTAAGTGATTTGATCGGTAGTCTTAGCACATAGAGACGTTCTGAGTGTAATAGACAAACTAAAAAACCTAGGAAAATAGGAGTAAGAGAAGAAATATGAACTAAACTGGTGCTTGAGACAGTCGTGGGATGTCTCATGTTTTCTCCATTATTCAAGCAACTGATTGCTTCCTCCAAATTAGTAGGTTGTATATAAACTCCATGTTGTTCTGGTTTCTTAATAGGATTTTTGCAATGACATTGAATGATTTGGGTGTCGTTCAATTGCGCATTTTCTTGAGAACATTTTAGTATACAACTTGCCTATACTTGATACAGGATGGAGCTGTCTTGGGAACAAATTCGTTTGCTACTCATGCACGATTGATGCGTGAAGGAAAATGCTAGTGAAGCGGCGCGCAAGGTTAGTGGAAATTGGGGCTTTGAATACGGTTGCCAAAGGACAGCTTCTGGTCTTCGGTCAGTTCATGTTGCACATACTTTGACTTCTCCCAGACTTCATCCAGTTCATGCAGAATGTTGACGATGGTCTTGAAGCAGCAATCAAACTCTGGCTACCACTGTGCATGTCGTTGAGGCATTCTCTTGTACTATTTCATGGACAGCTAGGTGATCAACGTTCTGTTGACGACCTGACCGCGGCTGACCCTCCACACTGTTCTCTCAGCTTTGACTTCCACGAAGCCTTCCCTTCCCGTCCTTTTTGCAACCGTATCATCGCCCCAAGCTCCACTAATCTTGCGCACCGCTTCGCTAGCATTTTCCCTTACACGCCACTTGTGCATGAGTACCATGCGAATTTGTTTCCAGCAGCTTCTTCTTAAAGCAAATAATGGTTAAGCTATATACCAAAATCTTGGCTAGAAAATGCGCAGTTGAACGATACCAAAACATGCGATTTCGCTGCAAAAATTATATCCAAAAACCGAAACGGCGTGAACTCTTTTCACAACCTATAGTTTAGGCTATTCTAGCATTGTGAAAATTGATGCCGTATAATGTTGGATGAAGAGACTTTTCATCATTGATGATTTCGTAGTGGAGGTTACAGAAGCTAATATTGACAGCACAAATGCTTTTGATATCTTTCTGCTTATTATTTCTAAGAAAATGGAATAGAAGAGAAGCTGGTGTGAGACTGTCAAGACCCTTCATAGCTTTTGAGGTATTGAAATTTGGCCATAATATTTCGATTTTTCGAGGCCTCAATTGTCCCCTAACATTGTCCATAGAAATGTCAACAGAACTGCTGAGAATATGTCGCGTATTTTCCTTCTGTAATGGAGTTACAAAAAATTTGATGCTTAGGCAGAGAGAAGGTGATGAAAGTTATTAATGTTTAGGCCCTGAGGACATTGGAATAAAAAAACTTGGGACAGAAAAGGATCCCAAGCAGGTGACTCAATCGGAATGGAAGAAGGTACTTCCTCCTGAAAGCTTACGAGGTAGCTCGTAACTCAGGTTGGTCTTCTAGAGCAACTGTTAGTTGAGTCTATCCATCCAAATGATTTACTGGCCCTTATTCTTCATCTTTGAATCTAACGATTTTCGTCATATAAAAACCTGTGGTTTCTGCAATCCTTCAATATATTTGAATAAGCGTATTTCGTATATCAAATCCTACTTCATTAGATCTACCATTATTTGAGGGACAGGAGCCGGCTTTCTCTGGAGCGTTTGATAAATTTTACGAAAAAGGTTGCTATGTGGTGTCTCTGCTGTGGTGCCGAATTATTTAAGTGAGTTTAGCCATGTAGTCTCTTGACTTTTCGGATTCTTTGAAGACCAGTAGAAGTTTTGTTATGAAGTCTCACGAATATATTTATTAGCGAAGAGATTTTGGAATAACGTTTAGATCTGACTCCAAGTATTCGTCGGGTTGTGGTTGGCCAGCGTTCTCAAAATCTATCGATAATGACCTAAACATAGTGCGAGTGCCGGATAACTCTTATGGCATGAATAGAGTGGAGGTTAGATGCAAGAAAGTAGGTTTCTCAAAATATCTTTTTTTTATTTCTTTGTATAGTGGAAGCGGTTGTTTCTTCTAGTACACTACTTTGTACACGTAGTACATACCATTTACGGTAGACTCTTCTTCTTTTGAATTCATTGCTCAAATCTTCACTTGAATACGTTGAATAGGACAGACAATAGAGATTAAGAGCTAGATTTTCAGTGCGATGCACACCTTGGTCATGTATTTGAGGATGGCCCCAAGGAGACAGGAGAGCGATACTGCATCAACAGTGTTTGTATGGCGTTCAAGAAGAGTACTTGATGGTGTTTTTACTTCTTAGTTACCCGAAATTCCATGAATAAGAGCGATTTAGAAAAAGGGCAGGTAATACATGCACTTTCGGAAATGATTTTTTTCCTAGAAAACAGTACTTAAGTGAGAAAGAACGAAAAAATGCGAAAGTAAGAAACACATAGTTAAAAAGAAAGTTCGGAAAAAAGTGAACGCATACGCCTACTTCCCAGCGCAGAGCGCTCTTATTCATGCAACTATAGATTGCCTTATTGGGTTCCGCTGTTGTGATGTTTTATCCAGTAATCACTCAGCGGTTTTTCTCAGTAAAATTCCTCCAGAGAACCTCGACTTGTCTTTTTTTATCGTAGATAATTATGAGTTTGCAGTTATTCCTCTGTCATTAGTTATTACAGTTTTGATAGCGAAGTTCCTGTTTTAAGATACATCTTTAATTTTTTCTCTACCTGTGCGAAAAAATTTACACCTTTGTATTTGCATATCTATAACCTTAGAGTTTCTATGTTTTCTACCAACTTGTCGACAACATTTATCTCTTATAAAAAAAAACCCGTGTTACTGATAAACTCACACTCGTCAGAATTCTTAGAAGTTACCTCTTGGATGAAAGACAAGATAAATAGAAGTGCAGTAGTGAGTTTTCTCAATCAAATAAAGTGTATCATTTGCTGAGTGAATAAGCTCTCATCCCATGCAAAGACGATGAATGTGTTTAGCGGTGGTGCTCGCTAAACGGGTGGAAGGTCCCTAGTAGATACTTCGCCCTTCTCTT